CTGCAGATGTAGATGGCACTGGTTCTTCACGTTCTGCAAATGTAAATGTCACTGGTTCTTCACGTTCTGCAGATGTAGATGTCACTGGTTCTACACGTTCTGCAGATATAGATGCCACTGGTTGTTCATGTTCTGTAGATGTAGATGCCACTGATTCTTCATGTTCTGCAGATGTAGATGCCACTGGTTCGTCATGTTCTGCAGATGTAGATGCTACTGGTTCTTCACGATCTGCAGATGTAGATGCCACTGGTTCTTCACGTTCTGCAAATGTAGATGTCAATGGTTCTTCACGTTCTGCAGATGTAGATGTCACTGGCTATTCATGTTCTGCAGATGTAGATGCCACTGGTTCTTCACGTTCTGCAAATGTAGATGCCACTGGTTCTTCATGTTCTGCAGATGTAGATGTCACTGGTTCTTCATGTTCTGCAGATGTAGATGCCACTGGTCTTCACGTTCTGCAAATGTAGATGTCACTGGTTCTTCACGTTCTGCAGATGTAGATGTCACTGGTTCTTCATGTTCTGCAGATGTAGATGCCACTGGTTCTTCACGTTCTGCAGATGTAGATGGCACTGGTTCTTCACGTTCTGCAAATGTAAATGTCACTGGTTCTTCACGTTCTGCAGATGTAGATGTCACTGGTTCTACACGTTCTGCAGATATAGATGCCACTGGTTGTTCATGTTCTGTAGATGTAGATGCCACTGATTCTTCATGTTCTGCAGATGTAGATGCCACTGGTTCGTCATGTTCTGCAGATGTAGATGCCACTGCTTCTTCACGTTCTACAGATGTAGATTCCACTGGTTCTTCACGTTCTGCAGATGTAGATGTCACTGGTTCTTCACGTTCTGCAGATGTAGATGCTACTGGTTCTTCACGTTCTGCAGATGTAGATGCCACTGGTTCTTCACGTTCTGCAGATGTAGATGCTACTGGTTCTTCGCGTTCTGCAGATGTAGATGTTACTTGTTTTTCATGTTCTGCAGATGTAGATGCCACTGGTTCTTCACGTTATGCAGATGTCACTGGTTCTTCACGTTCTGCAAATGTAAATGTCACTGGTTCTTCACGTTTTGCAGATGTAGATGCCACTGGTTCTTCACGTTCTGCAAATGTAAATGTCACTGGTTCTTCACGTGTTGCAGATGTAGATGCCACTGGTTCTTCACGTTCTGCAAATGTAAATGTCACTGGTTCTTCACGTTCTGCAGATGTAGATGTGACTGGTTCTTCATGTTCTGCAGATGTAGATGCCACTGGTTCTTCACGTTCTGCAGATGTAGATGTCACTGGTTCTACATGTTCTGCAGATATAATGCCACTGGTTGTTCATGTTCTGTAGATGTAGATGCCACTGATTCTTCATGTGCTGCAGATGTAGATGCCACTGGTTCGTCATATTCTGCAGATGTAGATGCCACTGGTTCTTCACGTTCTACAGATGTAGATGCCACTGGTTCTTCACGTTCTGCAGATGTAGATGTCACTGGTTCTTCACGTTCTGCAGATGTAGATGCTACTGGTTCTTCACGTTCTGCAGATGTAGATGCCACTGGTTCTTCACGTTCTGCAAATGTAGATGTCACTGGTTCTTCACGTTCTGCAGATGTAGATGCTACTGGTTTTTCACGTTCTGCAGATGTAGATGTCACTGGTTCTTCACATTCTGCAGATGTAGATGCCAATGGTTCTTCATGTTCTGCAGATGTAGATGCCACTGGTTCATCACGTTCTGCAGATGTAGATGCCACTGGTTCTTCACGTTCTGCAAATGTAAATGTCACTGGTTCTTCACGTTCTGTAAGTGTGGATTTCACTGGTTCTTCACGTTCTGCAGATGTAGATGCCACTGGTTCTTCACGTTCTGCAAATGTAAATTTCACTGGTTCTTCACGTTCTGTAAATGTGGATGTCACTGGTTCTTCACGTTCTGCAGATGTAGATGTCACTGGTTCTTCACGTTATGCAGATGTAGATGCCACTGGTTCTTCACGTTCTGCAGATGTAGATGCCACTGGTTCTTCACGTTCTGTATATGTAGATGCAACTGGCTCTTCACGTTCTGCAGATGTAGATGCCACTGGTTCTTCACGTTCTGCAGATGTAGATGCCACTGGTTCTTCACGTTCTGCAGATGTAGATGCCACTGGTTTTTCACGTTCTGCAGATGTAGATGCCACTGGTTCTTCGTGTTCTGTAGATGTAGATGCCACTGGTTCTTCACGTTCTGCAGATGCAGATGCCACTGGTTCTTCACGTTCCGCAGATGAAGATGCCACTGGTTCTTCACATTCTGCAGATGTAGATGTCACCACCGTCATCTATTGCGTGGTGGTTGAACTTACGACTCTCGGTCCGAACAGGCAACTAGACATATGCCCAGGTTTGTTCGTATCTTTGATAGTTCGTCAGTGGAATGTCGAGGAGTCTAACTACTACTACAACGTGTTAAACAGCTTCGTTTATAGTTCACATCACAGAACTACCTCGGAGCTGCCAATCTCCATCACGTGACCTCTGTTCACCACCAGAGGGCATCGCTTCCCCACGCGCCCTGCCACGGAGAACGGCCGTGGAGTCACGTGCCCACGTCTCAAAAGCCGAATCCTATAACGGTGTTGTCTCTAGAGGCAATCTGTATAACGGTGTCGTCTCAAGAGCTGATGAGTTTATGGGTCTCTGTTTCAGTCTGTGGACCACTCTATGAGTATATGGGTCTTTGTGTGAATCAATGGGTCTCTGTGATGAGTCTATTGGTCTCTGTGTGATGAGTCTATGGGTATCTGTGTGATGAGTCTATGGGTCTCTGTGTGATGAATCTATGGGTCTCTGTGTGATGAGTCTTTGGGTCTCTTGTGTGGTGAGTCTATGGGTCTCTGTGTGAAGAGTCTATGGGTCTCTGTGTGATCAGTCTATGGGTCTCTGTGTGATGCGTCTATGGGTCTCTGTGTGATGAGTCTATGGGTCTGTGTGTGATGAGTCTGTGGGTTTCTTTGTGATGAGTCTATGGGTCTCTGTGTGATGAGTCTATGGGTCTGTGTGTGATGAGTCTGTGGGTCTCTGTCTGATGAATCTATGGGTCTCTGTGTGATGAGTCTATGGGTCTCTGTGTGGTGAGTCTAAGGGTCTCTGTGATGAGTCTATGGGTCTCTGTATGACGAGTCTATGGGTCTCTGTGTGATGAGCCTATGGGTCTGTGTGAGATGAGTCTGTGGGTCTCTGTGTGATGAGTCTATGGGTCTCTGTGTGGTGAGTCTATGGGTCTCTGTGTGACGAGTCTGTGGGTCTCTGTGTGATGAATCTATGGGTCTCTGTGTGATGAGTCTATGGGTCTCTGTGTAATGAGTCTATGAGTCTCTGAGTGATGAGTCTATGGGTGTCTGTGCGATGAGTCTATGGGTGTCTGCGTGATGAGTCTATGGGTCTCTGTGTGATGAGTCTATGGGTCTCTGTGATGAGTCTATGGGTCTCTGTGTGATGAGTCTATGGGTCTCTGTGTGATGAGTCTATGGGTCTCTGTGTGATGTGTCTATGGGTCTCTGTATGGTGAGTCTATGGGTGTCTGTGTGATGAGTCTATGGGTCTCTGTGGTGAGTCTATGGGTGTCTGTATGGTGAGTCTATGGGTCTCTGTGTGGTGAGTCTATGGGTATCTGTGTGATGAGTCTGTGGGTCTCTGTGTGATGAGTCTATGGGTGTCTGTGTGGTGAGTCTATGGGTCTCTGTGTGATGAGTCTATGGGTCTCTGTGTGATGAGTCTATGGGTCTCTGTTTCATGAGTCTGTGGGTCTCTGTGTGATGAGTCTATGGGTCTCTGTGTGGTGAGTCTATGGGTCTCTGTGTGATGAGTCTATGGGTCTCTGTGTGATGAGTCTATGGGTCTCTGTGTAATGAGTCTATGAGTCTCTGAGTGATGAGTCTATGGGTGTCTGTGCGATGAGTCTATGGGTCTCTGCGTGATGAGTCTATGGGTCTCTGTGTGATGAGTCTATGGGTCTCTGTGATGAGTCTATGGGTCTCTGTGTGATGAGTCTATGGGTCTCTGTGTGATGAGTCTATGGGTCTCTGTGTGATGTGTCTATGGGTCTCTGTATGGTGAGTCTATGGGTGTCTGTGTGATGAGTCTATGGGTCTCTGTGGTGAGTCTATGGGTGTCTGTATGGTGAGTCTATGGGTCTCTGTGTGGTGAGTCTATGGGTGTCTGTGTGATGAGTCTGTGGGTCTCTGTGTGATGAGTCTATGGGTCTCTGTGTGGTGAGTCTATGGGTCTCTGTGTGATGAGTCTATGGGTCTCTGTGTGATGAGTCTATGGGTCTCTGTTTCATGAGTCTGTGGGTCTCTGTGTGATGAGTCTATGGGTCTCTGTGTGATGAGTCTATGGGTCTATGTGTGATGAGTCTATGGGTCTCTGTGGTGAGTCTATGGGTCTCTGTGTGACTATGACCCCCGTGCCCCCTTTGATCCCCCGCACCCCCCATAACCCCGTGCCCACTGTGACTCCTATAACCCAGTGACCCCCGTGACCCCCGTGACCCCTATGACCCCTTTGACTCCTATAACCCAGTGACCCTCGTGACCCCCGTGACCCCTGTGACTCCTATAACCCAGTGACCCGCGTGACCCCGTGACCCCTGTGACCCCTGTGACTCCTATAACCCAGTGACCCTCGTGACCTCTGTGACCCCTGTGACTCCTATAACCCAGTGACCCCCGTGACCCGTGACCCCTGTGTCTCCTATAACCCAGTGACCCTCGTGACCCCTGTGACCCCCGTGACCCCTGTGACTCCTATAACCCAGTGACCCCCGTGACCCCTGTGACTCCTATAACCCAGTGACCCCCGTGACCCCTGTGACTCCTATAACCCAGTGACCCCCGTGACCCCTGTGACTCCTATAACCCCGTGACCCCTGTGACCCCTGTGACTCCTATAACCCAGTGACCCTCGTGACCCCCGTGACCCCCGTGACCCCAGTGTCGATGCGTCCCCAGATCCGTTTGTGTACGAGGGCTCCAGCATGATGATGACGACCAGCGCCGGCCTGCACAGCAACGCCGCCAGGAAGCCCCAGTGAGGCCTCGCCCTAACAGACACTCATCAGCATCATCGCCATCACCGTAACCATCTTCATCATCATCATCACCGTCATCACCATCACCGTTGTCATTACGATCACCGTCACCATTACAAGCGTGATCACCATTGCCATCATTGTCACTATCGTCATCACCATCATCATCATTACCATCGCTGTCGTCACCATCATCATCATCACCATTGTGAACACCATCGTCATCACCATCATCACCATCATTATAGCCATCACCATTACCATCATCATCACCATCACTGTCACCATCATCATCATTTCTATCGCTGTCATCACCGTCACCACCATCATCATCATCACCATTGTCAACACCATCGTCATCACCATCATCACCATCATTATAGCCATCACCATTACCATCATCATCACCATCACTGTCACCATCATCATCATTACTATCGCTGTCATCACCGTCACCATCATCATCATCACCATTGTCAACACCATCGTCATCACCATCATCACCATCATTATAGCCATCACCATTACCATCATCATCACCATCACTGTCACCATCATCATCATCATTACTATCGCTGTCATCACCGTCACCATCATCATCATCACCATTGTCAACACCATCGTCATCACCATCATCACCTTCATTATAGCCATCACCATTACCATCATCATCACCATCACTGTCACCATCATCATCATTACTATCGCTGTCATCACCGTCACCATCATCATCACCATTGTCAACACCATCGTCATCACCATAATCACCTTCATTATAGCCATCACCATTACCATCATCATCACCATCACTGTCACCATCATCATCATCATCACTATCGCCATGAACATCGCCCCTACTCTTTGTTTTTTTCGATTGCAACACATAACCATAGATATTAAACTATGCAACAAAGCATTGTCATCCTCGTTAACATCGTTATCATTCTGGTTATTATTGTCATCATTATCATCATCATTTTAATAATTAGCACAATCATGTTCATCATCGTTATCGTCATCATCATCTTACCTAACAGCTGCGGCTGCTACAGCAAAACATCATAGTCGTGTGGCGACGATGGTGACGCTGATGATGACGATGGTGACGATGATGGTGACGCTGATGATGCTGATGACGATGGTGACAATGATGGTGATGCTGATGTTGACGATGGTGACGCTGATGATGACGATGATGATGCTGATGACGATGGTGACAATGATGGTGACGCTGATGTTGACGATGGTGACGCTGATGACGCTGATGATGCTGATGACGATGGTGACAATGATGATAACGATGGTGACAATGATGATGACGATGGTGACAATGATGATGACGATGGTGACAATGATGGTGACGCTGATGACGATGATGACAATGATGGTGACAATGATGGTGACGCTGATGATGCTGATGACGATGGTGACAATGATGATGACGCTGATGACGATGGTGACAATGATGATGACGATGGTGACGATGATGGTGACGCTGATGATGCTGATAACGATGGTGACAATGATGGTGACGCTGATGTTGACAATGGTGACGCTGATGATGACGATGATGATGCTGATGACGATGGTGACGCTGATGTTGACGATGGTGATGCTGATGATGACGATGATGATGCTGATGACGATGGTGACAATGATGGTGACGCTGATGACGCTGATGATGCTGATGACGATGGTGACAATGATGATGACGATGGTGACAATGATGATGACGATGGTGACAATGATGATGACGATGGTGACAATGATGATGGTGACAATGATGATGACGATGGTGACAATGATGATGACGATGGTGACAATGATGATGACGATGGCGACAATGATGATGACGATGGTGACAATGATGGTGACGATGGTGACAATGATGATGACGATGGTGACAATGATGATGGTGACAATGATGATGACGATGGTGACAATGATGATGACGATGGTGACAATGATGATGACGATGGTGACAATGATGATGACGATGGTGACGATGGTGACAATGATGATGACGATGGTGACAATGATGATGACGATGGTGACAATGATGATGACGATGGTGACAATGATGATGGTGACAATGATGATGACGATGGTGACAATGATGATGACGATGGTGACAATGATGATGACGATGGCGACAATGATGATGACGATGGTGACAATGATGGTGACGATGGTGACAATGATGATGACGATGGTGACAATGATGATGGTGACAATGATGATGACGATGGTGACAATGATGATGACGATGGTGACAATGATGATGACGATGGTGACAATGATGGTGACGCTGATGACGATGGTGACAATGATGATGACGATGATGACAATGATGGTGACGCTGATGATGCTGATGACAATGATGGTGACAATGATGGTGACGATGATGATGACGATGGTGACAATGATGGTGACGATGGTGACGATGATGATGACGATGGCGACAATGATGATGACGATGGTGACAATGATGATGACGATGGTGACAATAATGATGACGATGGTGACGATGATGATGACAATGATAGTGATGCTGATGGTGACGCTGATGATGCTGATGACGATGGTGACAATGATGGTGACGATGGTGACAATGATGATGACGCTGGTGACAATGATGATGACGATGGTGACGATGATGATGACGATGGCGACAATGATGATGACGATGGTGACAATGATGATGACGATGGTGACGATGATGATGACGATGGCGACAATGATGATGACGATGGTGACAATGATGATGACGATGGTGACAATGATGATGACGATGGTGACAATGATGATGCTGATGGTGACAATGATGATGACGATGGTGACAATGATGGAGACGATGGTGACAATGATGGTGACGTTGGTGACAATGATGATGACGCTGGTGACGATGATGATGACGATGGTGACGATGATGATGACGATGGTGACGATGATGATGACAATGATGATGACGATGGTGACAATGATGGAGACGATGGTGACAATGATGATGAAGATGGTGACAATGATGGAGACGATGGTGACAATGATGATGACGATGGTGATGATGACGACGACGACGACGATGATGCTGACGATGGCTCTCTGTGATTTTCCAGGCTGCACCACGTGCCCAAGGACGAGCCCCCTCCCTCTCTCGGTGAGAAACCCTTGAGGCTGTCGCCCGTGCTCTCTCCACCGCTGGCCTCTCGCCGCCGCCCCACTCGCGTGGCCACGGCGTGAGGCCCCAGCGGTCACCGCGGGCCGACCGCCACTGGCCTCGGCACGCGCCTCTGCGTTCGCCTGATCTGCGTGGCGATGACGGCGACAAGAATCAACTTTTAACGGCGTTCAAGACGCGCGAGATTTCATCGCAGAGCGCGAGGGCTCCGCGAGCCCTCGCGTCCCCGAAGAACGGCGCGCTACGGAGACGCCCCGCTACGGACGTCGAGAGATGCGACGTCGGGGCTCAAGCGCAGCCCGCGATGGCACGAGAGGCGTCGCGGGCTGCGCTTGAGCCCCACGGAGGAGGCCCCACGGAGGAGGCGGCTTGAGGTTTCCCCGGTGGCACGCAGCAACGCCGCTCCCCACGACGCGTCCCTCCGGCGCCGCCACGCGTTGTTACCGGTCCCGCTTCGTCAATTCTAGTGCTTGCTCTGACTATTGTGATTGCTATCACGCGAGACTCGCCCAGGCCGGGCGCTCCGTGGTCACGACGTCGGCAAAGGGGCAGGGAGCACCGCCTGCAGCTTTCCTCTCCCTCCCCCCCCCCCTCGGCTGTAGAGAGCGAGGTGCTGGGGCCTAACTCCTCGACGCTCGCACGAGCTGCGAGTCGCCCGCTCGCTACCCCGCCACGACGCCAGACAAAGTCGTGAACCGCCACGCCGGGGAGATGGAATCGAAGGCGGCGAAGCTCGCGGACCGCGAGTCACAGCGGCGCTGCCGACTGTGACGTCGTCACCACCACCGTGGTGGTGACACCACTGTGGCGTCACCACCACGGTGACGTCATCACTGCCACTGTGGTGATGCCACGGTGGTGATGACGTCACAGTGGTGATGACGTCACAGTGGCGATGACGTCACAGTGGTGATGACGTCCCAGTGGTGATGACGGGCGAGCGGCCGCACGCTTTGTTGTTGGCAAGAAGAAAGAAAAAGAGAGAAGATGAAGACAAATAAAAACCTAGCTCCTCCCCCTCCTACTCCTCGCTCCTCCCCCTCCTCCCCCCTCCCTCTCACTCCTCCTCCTCCCTCCCCCCTCCCCCTCGCTCCTCCCTCCCCCTCCTCCCCCTCTTCCTCCCCCTCCTCCTCCTCGCCCCTCCCTCTCGCTCCTCCTCCCTCCCCCCTCCCCCTCGCTCCTCCCTCCCCGTCCTCCCCCCTCCCCCTTGCTCCTCCTCCTCCCCCTCCTCCTCCCCCTCCTCCCCCCTCCCCCTCTCTCCGCGACTGAGATTGACGTTGATGCGGCACGGCGACTCCGACCGGCCGTCCGGCTCGTTAGCGAGCGGTCAACGTGGCAACAATGACCGACGCTACCTCTGACCCCACCCCCCTCTCACCAGCCCCCCCCCACGCCCCACCCCCGTCAGCGCCTCCGACCTCCTGACCTCTCGCCGCCCCCCCCCCCCCCAGACACGGCCCTCTACGCCACCGTGGGTCCGGAGCGGGCGACGGCGGTCGCGCCCGCGGCCCCGCCTGGGGCTGAGCCGACGCGCCGCAAGGGCCCCTGCACCAGCGAGCTCTACGTGGTGACGCGCGACTTCACCTCGCGGGTACGTCACGCCGACGTCACGCCGACGTCACGCCGACGTCACGCTGACGTCACGCTGACGTCACGCTGACGTCACGCCGGAGTCACGCCGACGTGACGCTGACGTCACGCTGACGCCACGCTGACGTCACGCCAACGTCACGCCGACGTCACGCCGACGTCACGCAGACGTCACGCCGACGTCACGCTGACGTCCGGCTTCCCACCTGTTGGCATCTTTGTCGCCAACGCCACTGAGTGGCGGCTGTTGCTGGTGGTGGTGCTGGTGGTGGTGCTGGTGATGGTGCTGGTGATGGTGGTGGTGCTGGTGGTGGTGGTGGTGGTGCTGGTGGTGGTGGTGGTGCTGGTGGTGGTGGTGGTGCTGGTGGTGGTGGTGGTGGTGCTGGTGGTGGTGGTGGTGGTGCTGGTTGTGGTGGTGGTGCTGGTGGTGGTGCTGGTGGTGGTGGTGCTGGTGGTGGTGCTGGTGGTGGTGATACTGGTGGTGGTGCTGGTAGTGCTGGTGGTGGTGGTGCTGGTGGTGCTGGTGGTGGTGCTGGTGGTGGTGGTGCTTGGAGGTTCGGAGAGCCGTGAGGCGCTGCAAGGATGGGTGGTGGTCGCGGGTTGATGAGGAGATGGAGTCGGCTTGCGATAACAAATCGTTCTTTAACTCCATCAAAAAAGTAACCTGCAGTGCCACACAAATTACCATCATTAGGGGAAAGAACATTAATCCAATCTCCGACCCCCAGGAACAGGATGGCAGATTTGCTGAGCATTTCTGTGAGGTCCTGGGGGAGGGGAAATCCCTCGGCCAGGAAAACATCATGGGACAAAGTGAGGATGACCCTGCTGAGGCTGCGGTGCCTCAAATATTGGAGGAGGAAGTCACCCCTTGTGCGTGGCTGGCTGAGGTGCGATCTGTTGAGGAAGTACTGAAGGCGATCCAGAGTCTGAGACCAGGAAAGGCACCGGGCTAAGATGATCTCCCAAGCGAAATGCTGAGGGAGGGTGGCGTTTGTGCTGGACGGGTTCCACAGGATTGGAAGGATGCCCTGGTGGTCCCCCTCTTTAAGAAGGGGGACCGCACAAACTGACAACTACAGGGGCATCTCACTCCTCAGTGTGCCGGGAAAGGTTGCCTAGCAAGGCAATGTTATTCAACTTTGCCTTGCTAGGCACGCTGAGGAGAGGCTTGCGGAGCCCCAATGTGGTTTCAGGAAGGGGCGGTCCTGCACAGATGCCATATTTTCTATCCATCTGCTACAGCAGAGGTGTAGAGAATTCCAACAAGACCTAAATCTCTGCTTTATTGACCAGGTCATGGCCTATGATACCATCAGTAGGCCTGGGCTCTGGGTTGTTTTTCGTGCTTTCGGAGTCCCTGACCCTCTGCTCACGATCATTAAGAACCTTCATGATGGTGAGCGGGCCCAGGTAAAATTACGTGGCCGGCAGTCAGAGCCATTCCCTGTACACCTTGGGATGCGACAGGGATGTCCTCTGGCTCGCACATTATTTAACATCTATTTTGACCATGTAGTTCGTGAAGCCTTCAATAGCTGTACCGGAGGAATTTCGATTTGGTACAGATACAATGGGAGGCTGATCGATGCCCGGGTGCGGTCAAGGGATGGCTCCCTATTGCTCAACCATGTTATGTATGCCGATGATCTGGTAATTGCTGCTCACTTAGAGGAGGAGTTGGAGACGCTGCTGCTGAGACTGGAGCGTGCCACTAAGAGATGGGGCCTTACCATCAGCCCCAGCAAAACTAAGCACCTGCCTGGGTATTTTGTACCATCGGACACTGCACCCCCACATCTCCCAATTGGTGATAGGGTAGTTGTGGAGAGAGGGGAGAGTTTCCCATACCTTGGCAGTGTGCTCATGACCCGCTCCGGTTTAACAGCAGAGGTCTCACTCCGAATCAGTCGAGTGGCATTATCTTTTCATCGGTTGCATAAGGCTGTGTGGAAGCTACCTGGTCTATCACTCCGCACGAAGCTTCAGGTCTTCTCGGCCATGGTCATTCCTTCCCTTCTCTACGCTTGCGATACGTGGACCCCCCTAACGGAACAACTTCGCCGGTTAGAAACATTTAGGCTGGCCTGCCTATGATCCATCCTGGGTTTAACCAGGCTGGATTGTGTGAGGAGCTCACAAATCCTTGAAAGATGTAGACAAGGTCCCATCTGTGAGCTCCTCCGGCAGGCAAGGCTGCGCTGGCTGGGCCATGTAGCCCGCATGCCCAGCCACCGCATGCCTAAACAGCTTTTGTTCGGCCGGATCGAGGGGGCTAAACGGGCGCGGCACGGGCTAGAGAAGAGATGGAGTGACGTGATACAGGAGGATGTGGAGCTGAGTGGACTTGCCGATGACTGATACCAGCGGTCTCAAGATCGGCCTCTGTGGAGGAGGCTCGTGAAGGACGCTACTGGGCAGTTGGAGGCAGTCGCCCTCCAACAACAACGGAGGGCGGAGGGGCGACGCTCACAACAACGAGCAGAGCGCTGGGTGGCTAAGGCACAGCAACTTGGCAAGGTAGGGGGCACAGAAGTGGTGCATCAGCCACTCATCTCAGTCAGTCGCCCCCTGCTGGGTCTGCCCCGTGACCTCCTGTTCGACACTTAACGTGGCTTCAAGGTGCACATAGCCTGGCACAAGCGTCGTGGTGACGTCACCGCCACTTAGTGGCGAATGGCGGTTGTTGTTGTTGCTGCTGGTGGTGGTGCTGGTGGTGCGGTGGTGGTGGTGCTGGTGGTGCTGCTGGAGGTGTTGATGGTATCTGCTGCTAAGCATAGTTAGTCAATAGTTAGTTTTTAGTGGCCGTGTCGCAAGACATCACAGGATCGTGGAGCGCGACGACTTGGGACTCAGGCGCCATGGTGGGCACGCGGGGCACGGTGGAAGTGGTGGGCACGGTGGGCACGGTGGGCATGGTTGGAGCGGTGGCAAGAGCAGGCACTGTGGGCGATGGTCGAGGCCAGCGAAGGAGCGGCGGCCAAGGCAGGGAGCGGTAGGAGTGAGTTTCGTGCCGACACCCCAGGGCAAGCCGCCCGTCGCCCCGCGGGGGGGAGGGGGGGGGGCAGGGCTGCGCTGCGGTGGTCACGACAGCTGCCGCGTGTTCGGTTCCTCAATCTTCCCGCGCCACTCGTCAGTGAGCTCATCTCTGTCGCAACGACAAATCCCCCCCCCGAGCCGCGCAGCTTCCACGTCCGCGTTGACACCCCGCTGCTCTTGACGCGCTGAGCTGGGCCTTCGCCGCCTCGATGTCACATCGCGGCCGTCGCTCTGCGTCCACGTGGCACCGCTGCTGCTGCTGCTCCCACCGCTGCCTTGGCTGCGTTTCTTTTGCAGTTTCTGTTCCTGCTTTTGTTGGGCTGCCAGGCGAGGGAGGGAACCGCTCCGTCTCCCACCGTGTCCACCGTGCCCACCGTGCCCACCGTGCCCACCACCCCCACCGTACCCACTGCTCCCACCGTACCCACCGCTCCCACCATGCCCACCGTGCCCACCGTGCCCACTGCTCCCACCATGCCCACCGCTCCCACCGTGCCCACCACTCCCACCGTGCCCACTGCTCCCACCGTGCCTACCGCTCCATCAGCCAAATACTCTCAAGGCGTGATGTTGATTTTAAATGTGTTGGGGGAAAACCAGAGGACCCCGGGGAAAAACCAACGCGACCACGGGGAGAGAGAGAGACACGCAAACTCAAAATATACAGCCGCAGCGGTCATCAGGGTCGGGATCTAACCCATGACCACATGTATACCAGGCGAGGTCGTTAACATCTCCTAGCCACCGTGATGATGAGAGAGAGAGAGATTAAATTCCAAATATACAGCAGGTGTGAGGGCCGGGATTTAACCTACGACATCCTGTATACCAAGCGAGGTAGTTAACATCTCCCCACCATGGCAGCTGGTAGTCCGCTATGTGCCGGCCTCGCGATACCGCACGGCCACTCGGTTTGAGGGTAGGGATCATCGCCCCCCTCCCCACTCTTGGCAGACTAATGCCCGCTCGCTGGCCACGTGCCGCGGACTCACCTTGTGCTGGACAGAGACACTTGGGGGTCCCCTCGGCGAGACCACGTAGCAGCAATCATAGCCCCTGCCCCCCCTATTGGCAAGACAGGAGAAGAAGCAGCAGTAGAGAGCCCTAGGGAACTGTTGCTGCTCCCTGGGGAACGTCTGTGGGATCTGTGATGGAATGTTTGTGGGATCTGTGATGGAATGTTTGTGGGATCTGGGATGGAATGTTTGTGGGATCTGTGATGGAATGTTTGTGGGATCTGTGATGGAATGTTTGTGGGATCTGGGATGGAATGTTTGTGGGATCTGGGATTGAATGTTTGTGGGATCTGGGATTGAATGTTTGTGGGATCTGTGATGGAATGTTTGTGGGATCTGTGATGGAATGATTGTGGGATCTGGGATGGATTGTTTGTGGGATCTGGGATGGATTGTTTGTGGGATCTGTGATGGAATGTTTGTGGGATCTGGGATGGAATGTTTGTGGAATCTGTGATGGATTGTTTGTGGGATCTGGGATGGATTGTTTGTGGGATCTGGGATGGATTGTTTGTGGGATCTGTGATGGATTGTTTGTGGGATCTGTGATGGAATGTTTGTGGGATCTGGGATGGATTGTTTGTGGGATCTGTGATGGAATATTTGTGGGATCTGTGATGGAATGTTTGTGGGATCTGGGATGGATTGTTTGTGGGATCTGGGATGGATTGTTTGTGGGATCTGTGATTGAATGTTTGTGGGATCTGGGATTGAATGTTTGTGGGATCTGTGATTGAATGTTTGTGGGATCTGGGATTGAATGTTTGTGGGATCTGTGATGGAATGTTTGTGGGATCTGCGACTTCCCAGGTGGAGTCAGAGATGTCGGTGATTCAAGGCAATGTGGTGGCGTCGCTGGGAGACACGGTGGATGGCTGGATGCTCGTCAGCCTGCGCGGCCAAGAGGGCTTCGTGCCCTTCGACTACCTGAAGCCCAAGTAGCGCCAGCTAGACCCGCGGCACACAACGCCACAGAGCATCACACCACGTCATACCATGCCATGTCGCGCCGCCAAATGTTACACCACATCACAGCACAACACGTAACACCACGCCACGCCACGTCACACCACGCCATGTGGAGTCACACTGCAAGGCGTCACACGACACCGAGTCACGCCACCTCAGACCACGCCATGTCGCGTCACATCACGCCACGTTGCGTCACGTCCCACCACGGCACACCAGAGTATGTGTGCGTGCGTGTGTGCATCCCCTGTGTAAACCACCGCGCAGAGATATCGGAAGCTAAGCTGGAAAAAGAGCCTGGTTAGTCCTGGGATGGACGATCGCGGTGTGGGCTGCGAGGTGGCCTGCAGGTGGTGGTACAGCAGTCGATCCCTAAATCCATTCTTGCGAACATTTTAATATGACCCCCTCTAATACGGTTAATGTGCAGCACTCTGGCAAGAGCAGCTGGGTATGATGCTACTGCTGCTCTTTGCAATCCCTTGGAGTGAAGGACGCTGCTGCTACTGGGCAGTGGGAGGCAGTCGCCCTCCAGCAACAGCGGAGGGCAGAGGAGCGACGCTCACAACGAGCGGAGCGTCGGGTGGCGAAAACACAGCGAGTTGGCACAGTTGGGGGCACGGGGTGGTGCATCTGTCAGTCATTTCAGTCAGTCAACCCCACGGCACCTGAGTCTGTCCCGTGACCTCCTCCTGCACCTAGCCTGGCACGGCAGGCAACCCATGGTAACCTAGGTCTGTCCCGTGACCTCCTGCCAGCAGCGAGCCTTCAACACTCCACGTTGGCCTCAGAGTGCACCTGGCCTGGCACGGGCGCCGTGGTGACGTCACCGCCTCTCAGTGGCGAACGTCTGCCGTGATTTTTTTTTTAGCTCCCTTAGCTTTTGGAGGAGAGCAAGTCCCAGGAGGAAGCACACTCAGAACACGGAGAGAGAGATAACATACAGACTCCACGCAGAGAGGAGCCTGAGGTGGGAATAGAACTCAGGTGATTCTCGCTGTGAGACGTGAGCGTCACCAGAGCACAGCCGCCAAAAATAATCGCTACCACCACCGACACCACCATCATCATCATCACCACCACCATCTATCACTGACATCACCGCCACCACCACCATCTATCACTGCCATCACAACAACTACCACCAATGCCATCCTGTCCACCCGGCAGCATCGATGGGTACACAGTACCACAGTCTATCGGCAGTGGGGTAGAATGTAAGGTAGAATGTCAGTTAGAATGTCAGGTAGAATGTAAGGTAGAATGTCAGGTAGAATGTCAGGTAGAATGGCAGGTAGAATGTCAGGTAGAATGTCAGGTAGAATGTCAGGTAGAATGTCAGGTAGAGTGTCAGGTAGAGTGTCAGGTAGAATGTAAGGTAGAATGTCAGGTAGAATGTCAGGTAGAATGTCAGGTAGAATGTCAGGTAGAATGTAAGGTAAAGTGTCAGGTAGAATGTAAGGTAGAGTGTCAGGTAGAATGTCAGGTAGAATGTCAGGTAGAATGTCAGGTAGAATGTCAGGTAGAATGTCAGGTAGAATGTAAGGTAGAATGTCAGGTAGAATGTCAGGTAGAATGTCAGGTAGAATGTCAGGTAGAATGTCAGGTAGAATGTCAGGTAGAATGTCAGGTAGAATGTAAGGTAAAGTGTCAGGTAGAATGTCAGGTAGAATGTCAGGTAGAATGTAAGGTAGAATGTAAGGTAGAGTGTCAGGTAGAATGTCAGGTAGAATGTCAGGTAGAATGTCAGGTAGAATGTCAGGTAGAATGTAAGGTAGAGTGTCAGGTAGAATGTCAGGTAGAATGTCAGGTAGAATGTAAGGTAGAATGTCAGGTAGAATGTCAGGTAGGATGTAAGGTAGAATGTCAGGTAGAATGTAAGGTAGAGTGTCAGGTAGAATGTCAGGTAGAATGTCAGGTAGAATGTCAGGTAGAATGTAAGGTAGAGTGTCAGGTAGAATGTCAGGTAGAATGTCAGGTAGAATGTAAGGTAGAATGTCAGGTAGAATGTCAGGTAGGATGTAAGGTAGAATGTAAGGTAGAATGTCAGGTAGAATGTCAGGTAGAATGTCAGGTAGAATGTCAGGTAGAATGTCAGGTAGAATGTCAGGTAGAATGTAAGGTAGAATGTAAGGTAGAATGTCAGGTAGAATGTCAGGTAGAATGTCAGGTAGAATGTCAGGTAGAATGTCAGGTAGAATGTAAGGTAGAGTGTCAGGTAGAATGTCAGGTAGAATGTCAGGTAGAATGTAAGGTAGAATGTCAGGTAGAATGTCAGGTAGGATGTAAGGTAGAATGTCAGGTAGAATGTAAGGTAGAGTGTCAGGTAGAATGTCAGGTAGAATGTCAGGTAGAATGTCAGGTAGAATGTAAGGTAGAGTGTCAGGTAGAATGTCAGGTAGAATGTCAGGTAGAATGTAAGGTAGAATGTCAGGTAGAATGTCAGGTAGGATGTAAGGTAGAATGTCAGGTAGAATGTAAGGTAGAATGTAAGGTAGAATGTCAGGTAGAATGTCAGGTAGAATGTCAGGTAGAATGTCAGGTAGAATGTCAGGTAGAATGTCAGGTAGAATGTAAGGTAGAATGTAAGGTAGAATGTCAGGTAGAATGTCAGGTAGAATGTCAGGTAGAATGTAAGGTAGAATGTCAGGTAGAATGTAAGGTAGAATGTCAGGTAGAATGTCAGGTAGAATGTCAGGTAGAATGTCAGGTAGAATGTCAGGTAGAATGGCAGGTAGAATGTCAGGTAGAATGTCAGGTAGAATGTCAGGTAGAATGTCAGGTAGAATGTAAGGTAAAGTGTCAGGTAGAATGTCAGGTAGAATGTCAGGTAGAATGTAAGGTAGAATGTAAGGTAGAGTGTCAGGTAGAATGTCAGGTAGAATGTCAGGTAGAATGTCAGGTAGAATGTCAGGTAGAATGTAAGGTAGAATGTCAGGTAGAATGTAAGGTAGAATGTAAGGTAAAGTGTCAGGTAGAATGTCAGGTAGAATGTCAGGTAGAATGTAAGGTAGAATGTAAGGTAGAGTGTCAGGTAGAATGTCAGGTAGAATGTCAGGTAGAATGTCAGGTAGAATGTCAGGTAGAATGTCAGGTAGAATGTAAGGTAGAATGTCAGGTAGAATGTCAGGTAGGATGTAAGGTAGAATGTCAGGTAGAATGTAAGGTAGAGTGTCAGGTAGAATGTCAGGTAGAATGTCAGGTAGAATGTCAGGTAGAGTGTCAGGTAGAATGTCAGGTAGAATGTCAGGTAGAATGTAAGGTAGAATGTCAGGTAGAATGTCAGGTAGGATGTAAGGTAGAATGTCAGGTAGAATGTAAGGTAGAATGTAAGGTAGAATGTCAGGTAGAATGTCAGGTAGAATGTCAGGTAGAATGTAAGGTAGAATGTAAGGTAGAATGTCAGGTAGAATGTAAGGTAGAATGTCAGGTAGAATGTCAGGTAGAATGTCAGATAGATTGTAAGGTAAAATGTCAGGTAGAATGTCAGGTAGAATGTCAGGTAGAATGTCAGGTAGAATGTCAGGTAGAATGTAAGGTAGAATGTCAGGTAGAATGTAAGGTAGAATGTCAGGTAGAATGTCAGGTAGAATGTCAGGTAGAATGTCAGGTAGAATGTAAGGTAGAATGTCAGGTAGAATGTCAGGTAGGATGTCAGGTAGAATGTCAGGTAGAATGTCAGGTAGGATGTCAGGTAGAATGTCAGGTAGGATGTCAGGTAGAATGTCAGGTAGAATGTCAGGTAGAATGTCAGTTAGAATGTCAGGTAGGATGTGGGTACTCCCACCTCTAGAAGGGGGCGGGGCTCAGGGGCTCTCTGGCGCCCCCTGACGTGGAGACGCCGCCACCAGCAGCTGCACGAGTGAGCAGATCGCAGCGCTGAGCTGCGAACTCCCGGCCACCCAAGTTCGAGTCCTGCTCCTGGGCCAACGCCGGTGACGAACATGTGAACCGCTCCTGGGTCTGCTGCTAGGTCGACTCGGCCTCAAATGAACACCCGGTGCGCCCGTGGAGTTGAACATCGCCACTGGAGAGGAGACAAAGGCGGCCGGGCGTGGTGGTGCTGGGCCGCCCATCTCCGCTGGTGTGCCGTGCCGGCCTTCGTAGCGTGCTACTCGCTCGCAGCGCCTGCCCCAACAGTCTGTTCCACGCTACACGGGGGGATCTTTGTATGAATCCCAGTCCAGTGCTGTGTGATTTATGGTCTTTTTTTGGGCCATAGTGCCGACACGCGCACAATGGACGAATGAGCGTCGCTACTCCTGTGAATGACGCCACGCGAATCTTTAAACGTCTCACTGTGATTGAAGGAGATGGCGTTGCGGTATTGTTCACGGTTAAAATTCAGTACTACACCACACACCACACACCATACAAACCATACAAACCATACACCACACACACCACACACCACACACCATACACCCCACACACCATACACCACACACATACCACACACATACCACACACACCACACACACCACACACACACCATACACACACCACACACAAACCATACACACATACCACACACTACACAAACACCATATATACACCACACACCACACACACCATACACACACCACACACCATACACACACCACACACCACACACGTACACAAAACCTTACTAATTGGCCCTGTCGGGTGGCGGCGGGTTTAACGACACACGTTCATATTTTACGCGCTCTAACCCAACAAAAAAGCCTCTCGTGCGGATAACCAGGGCAGCCTGATGGGAAAAACCGAACCGTGAAACTCTGCGGTTACGTGTGACGTCGGTGAGGGGGGGACGGGGGAGATGTTACAGAAGTCAGTTTGACACGTAGCAGGCTTTTGCGACCAACATCATCTATTATAGAGGTTCCTTGGGTTAGATCGCGACAATGTATAAATCTGTCGTTAAAACCCGCCACGTCCATGTTGTGGCTTGGCTCTCCAATACACAACCGGTTAGTGCTGTACTAGTGACGAATTGGCACGTTCTGTTCACGTGACAACCCTTACTAGTTGGCTGTGTCGGGTGGTGGCGGGTTTAACGACACATATATTTACGCGAACTAACCCCCAAAAAACTCCTCTATTATGGGTTACAGAAGTCGTTGTGGGGCTAAACTAACATGTACGTTCAAGAGTATTAAAAAACACAAAAATAACGAAATGCAATGATTTATAACAATAATAAAACAGTTAATATTCATGACGGTGTTGGGTTTCTCCTGCGTGGTGATGCTGGTGGTGGTGGTGGAGGACGAGGAGTGATCGGATTCGCAGGTGGCTGATGGAGAGGTCAGGAGGAGCGGGAGGGTGCCGACTCGGATCCCAACAAAGACACTGCGAGACGAGGAGAGAGAGCACGTGATGTGGTGAGAGAGCACGTGATGTGGTGAGAGAGCACGTGATGTGGTGAGAGAGAGCATGTGATGTGGTGAGAGAGAGCACGTGATGTGGGGAGAGAGAGCACGTGATGTGGTGAGAGAGAGCACGTGAGGTGGGGAGAGAGAGCACGTGATGTGGTGAGAGAGAGCACGTGATGTGGGGAGAGAGCACGTGATGTGGTGAGGGAGCATG